GGTGTGGATGTCTGAGTGCTGGGGCAGCAGGTGTGTGGAGTTTCTGCGCTGTTAGAACAGGCAATATTTTAGTTTTCCTGGGGGCATATTCCTGTACTGCGTGTTGAGCTCATTTCAGTCGTGTCCACCTGCGGAGAGTCAATAGAGATGTAGCCTGTTCCTGCTGGAGTGGTAGCTGCTAGCTGGGGTAGCGGGCAAACTCCCTCAAAATTTGACTTTTGTACATCTTACAAAGTTGGGTTTGTTCGTTTTGTTTCAGGTGAAGTTATAAAAGGCTCAGAGGAAACAGCAGCACAGGAAGAAGAGGAGGAAGAAGAGGAGGAGGAGGAAGAAGAAAGCATTCCTGGGTGTACGTTGTTCATCAAAAACCTGAATTTCGCCACCACGGAAGACACGCTGAAGGAGGTGAGCGATAAGTGAGGAGGAGGGACCGGTTTTTGCTTAACAAGGTCTGCTCAGGCAGAGTGGGAGGGGGTTGAGTGTGTGGTCAAAAGTCAGACTGAGATGTCTGATGGACTAAAGCTCTGCTCCCAGCGTGAGCTGGAAGAAGGGGCTCCCCTCTGCTGCAGAAGGCAAAGGGCAAGTGATTCACCTGGTGTGCTGAGGATAAAGCATTTAAAGGAGTTAAATTGCAGCCAACATGACCTAAAGTGAGATGAGGGAGCACAGGATTGTACTAGGTCTGGGAACCTCCACTTCGGGGCTTCAGGTGTCAGTTAAGGCAAGTGTATCTGAAACTGTTTTGGTGGAGTTTAATTTTACCTCAGGTCGAGGAAGTAGGAAATGCTTTCCGTAATGTTTCTCCTTGGGACAAGCCCTTTTGCAGCTGTGATGCTGCTTTGTACATTAAGGCAGTAAATAAATAAATAATGGTTTCACTGAGACGTGCTTTTTGTCTGAGCTTCTACCAACATTGAGCTGTCTGTGCTGCTTTACCTCAACAAAACTTGAGAGAGAGTATAGCGTTTCTCGAACCATGTGGGGTGAAATGCTGTGTTTCATGGCCAAAGAATGCTGGCTCAATATCAGGACCCATGCTTCTCTGCCTTGGAGCTGTGGTGGACTGTAGATGCCTTGGTCCAGTGGGGTCTGGGGACAACTCTAAAGGTTCAGAGGGAGGCTGGGACTTGTCCCCTCTTGTTTTTCTGCCCTACTGGCTTTTGCACAGGAGTCGAATAGCGGCTTTGCAGCCCTTGCTGCCTTCCAACCCCTCCTACCTGTCTTTGAAAAGAGGTATCACAGGTGTCACCCACCTCTGAAGTCCTTAGCTGAGGGCATCTTGTAATCCATGGTGCTCCCCCAGAGCCGTCCCAGGCCTCTGCACCGTTTCCAAGGAGTGGTGGAGGATTTTGGGGAGCGTGCCTGTCGATTTCTTTAAAAGTCTGTGCGTGTCTGTTTGCACAGAAATAATTCTGTAAGAGAAGACGCAGCTGCACAGGCTGCTTCTCAGGTGCATGTTGGGGGAGGTGGGCCTGTGAGCACGTGCTCCTGGCTCTGGAAGAGGGCCACATTGTCACTCAAGTTGCAAGCCTGTGACAAAGAGAACTGAATCACGTGTCCCAATTCCTTGCAGGCGTTCTCCAAAGTGGGAGCTGTGAAGAGCTGCACAATATCCAAGAAGAAAGACAAAGCAGGTACTCTAGATGTTGCTGTTCAATTCCTTCCCTCAGCTGGTTGCTGAGGGCTCAGGTGTGGCATTGCTTTAGCATTCATCTGGCTGAGCGTTTGTGTTCTCGTTGGCGAAATCCTTAATGTTTCTAGAAGTGCACCTGTTGAAATGGCTGAAAGCAGCAACCAAAAATACGCCAGGGTTCGGTCTAGAAGGTTAAGCTCAATTGTAGGATTTGTGGAGACGTGACCTTCTCTTAAGATCTTGAGATGGAGAAGCCAACTCCTTTAGGATCACAGAAGAGAAGCGGGATGCGAGCTGAAAGGAGCTGGTGCCCTGTGAGGATTAAACCTGCGCACAGCATGCATTATCTGCGGTAACGACCGGGATCTTCAAGGATGCCTGGCTGAGTACTGTGCTGAGTGGGCTTCGTTTGCCTTCTGCCTGCCAGCTCCGAACCCAGCAGGCTCTGGTGACGAGTAGTTTCCCCGTCGCGTTGACTCCGCTCGCTTGCTGGCCAGGGAAGAGTGTGCTTAACACAAGTGCTGGCTGAATGGGCTGTGTCTCCTCTCCAGATTTTAAGCTAGGGAGCTGCACAGCTTTTGTGAGATTTGTGTCTTAACAGGGCTGTAGACAGTCCAAACTGGAAAAGATCTCCTGGCGGTGGTCGGTAACTGATGACTTGGCAGGTGTTGGCCAAAATAAATTTCTGAAGGGGTCATGGGTTAGAAGTGTCTCTTCCAGGGACCAAAGTGCAACCTGCATATCACTATCCTACAGCAAAAGTCACACCCATTTCTGGTTAGTTGGCAAATTTTCCAGGTGAAGATCTCATTTCGGTCATGAGGAAAAAGTCCTGCGTATAAACAAATGTTTGCGTCTCCGCGGTGGGATCGCTTACCCTGTGACCAGCAGGGTTTTTTGTAGGACTGTTCTATTTAAGGAGTTTGCACTGAAATGATACAAAGCAAAAAATCTCTTTTGCATGCAACGTGGGTTATCTCCTCTTTGACATCAGCATGAAAATGAGCTGTTCTAGAGAAGCATCTTGCCCAAAACGAGTCAGGGATGCTCAGAGTCAGGGCCTGGGGTATGAGTTTCTTTCCACCCCAATTTTGGCTATTGATGCTTTCTCCTGATTTGGTTTCAAATCTTCTGTTTCCTGCTTCCTTAAGTAGTCCCTTTGCTCTTCTCCACAGGCACTTTGCTTTCAATGGGCTTTGGATTTGTGGAGTACAAGAAGCCAGAGAGTGCCCAGAAAGCCCTGCGCCGGCTCCAGGTAAGCTTAAGCGTTGTTGTTGTGGATTTCTTTCCAGAGCTGGTGGGCAAAGACTTGGGTGAAATGTGAAGTTTGGAAAGGAGCTGAGGATGTCTGTGCTGTGAGTTACACTTTGCAGGTGGAGAAGCCTATAAAGCGAGCTGGGTTTGTGAGGGAAGAGGTGCAAGACCTCATGCAAAAGAGCATCTCCTAGCGCTGATCCAATACGGAGGCGGCAGAAAATGTGCAGTGATTGAAGTGTGAGTTTATTTAGCAAGGTGCCCTTTGTAGAGGTGATAGAGACCAAATGTTTGGTCCATGCTACCTGAGGTGGTGCAACCCAGATGGCCAGAGTGATCTCTTTCTAGGCAGGTGCAAAGGAATTACTTTGTGTAATCTGCGCACATCCAGTGACTGCAATCCATCAGTCCCACCTTGGGCAGGTGGTCCTTTCATGTCCCAGGGCCATCTTGGAGTAGATGTGTGTTCTCCATTCTTTTGAAAAGCAGAATTTTGGGGAAGAGAGAAAGCAAGGAAAAGCATATTTTGTGAAGGGAGTGGGCAGCAGGACTTCAGGTGGTCATGTGCCCTCTCAGGGATGTTTTCAGTGCTGAACTGCAGAGTTCTTTGAGGCGCAGGAAGCAAGGGACAGAAGACTTTCTTGCTGTGTTGGCTACTGTGGGCCAATAAGACATCCTTGGCTTGTTCCAGAACAAGTAGTAAGAGAGTCATTGCCTTGAAGAGTTTGCAGGCTAGAGGAAACCATAGCCCAGAGCAGTGAAATGACTTGTCCTTGCCAGTTTAGTGGTGGAGCTGAGGTTGGTGAACAACTCAATCAGGGGTGTTGGGTGCTGCTTCAGTCAGTGAAGCTGTCTCCAACTTCGTATCAGAAGCCTTGCCTCACCTGAGCAGCATTCAGCAGGGAGAAGGGGAGGAATATATAGGAAAAAGCAAGGTGGGAGAAAGCAAGGTGTGAAATGCTGTGCTTGTATCCCAGAAGCTTGGAAGCAGTTGTGATTTTATTTTTTTTTAATTTTTTTTTCCTGGTTTTGTTTCTTTGTTTTAACTTCTAGGGCTGCTCTGTAGATGGCCATAAGCTGGAAGTGAGAATCTCGGAGAGAGCCATCAGGTAAAGGTGGTCTCACCTCTGTACAATGGTTCCATTTAAGCTGCAGTGAGGAGTGGTAGATCCATCGATCCTCACCCAGCGTCTCTGCATCGCGAGGAACATCAGCAGTAGCTTTGTGACTGTTGAACACGTCAGCCTTTGTGCTTTTACTCAGTCGCTTTAGTCAGTCTGACTTTAAAAGAAAAAACCAAACGGTGAATAGCTGATGCAAAGGTGTTCGCTCAATACATGGCACATTTCCGGTTAAAATCCTGAAGCAGCGTGGGGTGCTGGGTCTCTAAAAATGAGCCAAAAGTGAGAACCAGGGGCTTGAGTTTTCTTCTGTGCTTGAGGAAAAGGCTCCTCTAAAACCTCTGCTTTGGTGACAGTTCAGTCAGCATCGCAGAATCCAGTGATAGCCCAAGTTCCAGTGCTTCTAAAAAGTTTTCGAAGACTAATATTCTTCTGGTAATGAAATCTTTTACCCTAGTTCATCAGGGAGAACAGGAGCTTAAGAAGAATGTTTTGCGCTGATTCTGATCAAATCAAGACAGATACAAGTTTGTATTTGAAAATAAATATTGCTTGGAAAAAAATTGGGATTTAACTTCTTTTGTTCGAGCAGTGAGGTGCAGAGGAGGTGGTTAATTGGATGAATTTACTTGGAGTTCAAGTCCTGCTTCTTAGGGTTTCCTTCCTAGTTTTTATTCAGTACAGGATCTTCAAAGTGCAAAACAGAAGATTAATCTTGGTGTTTGAAGGTGAATGTTGGCACCTAAAAAACTGTCCTTCAGACGCTTTGGAAACCTACTGCAGGAAGTATCTCTTAAGTGTCGAAATTTGTTTAAAAATTAGGTCCCTGGGGACCAGAAGCAGTCTGACAACTCCCTGTCTGCACTTTGTATTTTAATTCTTTTAAAAAAACCATTTTCATCCTTTTTGATTTTTGAGATCCCAGTAAATATCCAGCCTGCAATGCAGAATTCTTTACTTTATGAAATAACCTGTTGTGTTTTGCATTAGGTAAATTCTTACTTTGCCCAAAAGCAACACAATTCTGAAGTTAAAACCAAACTAATTAATAATCTATTTAAAAAAAAAATAAATCATTTGCTATTTTCTAAGCCAATCGGAAAAAGAATCAAAATTACCTTACGCTAAGCTATTATTCTTTTTATATCAAATAGCGCGTTCTCCTGACGACTGAATGGACAAGATTTGATGTTAAAACAAAAGTCGGTGGCAAATGCGAGGCCAGGCCTGCCGCCAATCCTCAGCTGAGGTTGCAGTCAGCAAGATGGAAACTTGGATTTTTCAGACGTAGGATTTAGATCACTGAAAATAATTTATTCTTGGTGAATGTTGGACATTTCCATTGTCCCTAGTAAGATGCCAGCAAGGATGTTGATGTGAGCTGGCTGGCTGATTTCTCTGCCTTCCTAATTCCGAAGGAGCCACAAGGCGATGGGGATTTTGCTGCCCAGCAGCCCTTACCTGCCCCTTCTCTTGACTTCGTAGGCCCGCTGTGAAATCATCCCGAAAGAAACAAACCGTCAAGAAGCAGAAGACTTCCAAGATCTTGGTCCGAAACATCCCATTCCAGGCCACCGTCAGGGAAATCAGGGAACTCTTCAGGTAGGAATGCGCTTTCTGTCGGGTCTGACAAGGGCTCCGGGCTGGAGCCGGTGTGATTTTCATACAGATTCTTGACATTGGATTGTTTTGTTTTCTTTGTGGAAGCAAAAAAGCCTTTTACTGCATGTAAATACAAATGGATTAGTGGGTTATACCAGTATAGAAATTCTGCTGGTGAGATAGAGATCACATAAGCCAGCATTTTGGCTGTAGCCACCCTGAGCTGTCGGAGCTGATGACCCATCGCCGCGCAGCAGACATCCGTGGAGTTCGGAGATCTCCTTGCCTCTCGAGTAAATAGCATTGGATTTTTTCTTCTTTTTTCTTCCCTCTTGCCTGAAAGGCGTGCAGCAGCTTTCCTGATGCTCGGCACACCTGCAGACAGCTGGCGTGAAAGGTTTTAGCTGAGGCTGGCTCCCTCCTCCATCTGTCTCGCCCATGTGATGGTGTAGCTCCTTCTCATCGTGGAGGCAGCACTTACATCTTGTTTTCTCTTCCACGAGTGTTTCACATAGGCAGTGGTTGGCAGCCCTGGATCTGTAAGGGTGTGGGACTGTGCTGTCTCTAATACCCTCTCCGGCATGAAATACAATGTCAGCTCTGAGACCTGCCTGGGATAGTGCTGAGCAATGAATAGGGATTTTAGGATCCCAGCCTGCATTCTTCTGTTCGCTGGCTGATCTCTGTTTTCTTTGTATCCTCAGCCTTTTATGCAATGACTTGTTAAGCTTTGTAATGCATCCGGGGGGGGTGGGGGGAAAATGGTGAAACTTTGTAAAATACTGCATGTGGCATCATTTCATGGTTTACTTGTTCACCCAGGCCATGGACCCTCCTCTGGTGCTGCCTTGCAGAAGGAATTTGGGGGAATCGGTGTCCGGCTCTGCCCGTCAGTTTTTCTCATTTGCAGAATAAGGGTGATGGCTCACATCTGCGGGGCACGGCGAAGTACTGAGCAGAAGGCAGGCGTTTTCATCTGCTCAGGGCTGGGGTGTTTCTTTCCAAAGGGAGGGAACTGAGAAATCGCTTAAGACCATTTTGAAACTTCCTCAGACTGTGCAGCGAGAACTGCCTTGGGAGGAGCTTCAGGACAGGGATTGTTCGTTCCAGGGGAAACTACTTGTTTCCCTATATACAGTGAATCCTACCTCCGTTATTAGGGTCTGATGTTCTCCTGGCTTGACCTTGGGCCAGGTAAGGACAGTGGTTCCCATGTGTCTGGTGGGTTGTTTCCTTGCAAGGTGTAAGGTGGTGAGGAAAGCTGTTCTTGCAGCCCTGTTTGGGGATGAGCTCTCGGATTTGGTCAGATGCAGACCATGACGTGACTTTTGGGCGCACGTTGCTGGAAGGGTGCTGGTGGGTACAATGTAAAGATCCCTGAAGGCAAGGAAGAAGCTTTTCTTGCCCGCACTGTGCAGCGTGGGTGTTCTGGCTTCAGCGCTGCCCTAATGAAACGGGGCTTAAAAGCAGGGCTTCCAAGTCACCCCACTGAGTTTTCCTGGCATGTGGGGCCCTGCTCATTTCAAACTCAACACTGTGTGGCTGCAGACGTGGCCTTTGTGAAACTGGGGAGATCTGTTTGCCTTATAAGTTCAAGATGCTGGGAGCCTTCTGTATATCACGAGGATAGACAAGCCCGGCAGAGACTGGGGTGGCTCTTTTGGTGCGTTTTATTTTTCCTCTTGCCTTGTCTGGCACCCTGGTGCAGTGGAGAGGGCTAGAGGAGTGGTCTGATTCCTACTGCAAGGAACACGCAGCTTCTAGCCCTGTGTGCTGTCAGTGGCGCTCTCGGAGCGATGCGTGAGCATCTGTTTCATTTACCTGGAATATTCCGAGATGTGGGGTTTATCCTCAAAACAAAAGCCCAACCTTGGCAGGGGAAGGACGATCCCCAATCCTCCCTCCCACCCGTCTGTCCCTTCAGACTACCTAGAACCAGGCATGAGGGAGCGCTGCTAAACACTTCATCCTAGATTGCTTGTGGGAGGTTTTTGGTGTGTGTGTGGTTTCAGATGCGCTTTTGCTCTGGAGCTTTTTTAGCTCTTTCTGCATTTTGGAACCCGTCTTTTATTTGCATCGCATTATTTATTTATTTGGAACGGGAGGTGGCACGGATGGCAGGGCTGCAGGGGGCACTCTTAGCCTGCCCAGAAAAGCCAGGTTGGGGACCACTGGGCTTGGGGACCAGCTTGGGACCACCAACCTGGGGACAAGACCAGGACCCCCGGCCCAGGGACCACCAGGCCGCGCCACGAGGCGTCACCGGGCAGGGCAGAAGCCCCCTGCCCGTGGAGGTGAGAGGCTTTGCCAGGACAAGCATCTCCTCTATTGTTCCCACGTGCTCAAAAGCCACTTTCCAGCCCTGCAGCTGATGTTGCCTCCCAACCTGCTTCCTTCTGTGCTTGCTTTTTTTTTCTTTTCTCAATTGCCTGGGCAGGAGGAAAATTAATAAATACACACCCACCAGATATATGTGTCGGGTAGCTGTATACATACACGTGCTAATATGTGTGTGTATATATTACTCCAGACAAATATATCATGCAGATATATATTTCCATATATATATAGTTCTGCAAACAAATATTTCCACATTTTGAGCTTTGTCAAGGAGCCGCGTCTTCCTTTTTAAATGGGCCTACAGTAGGTATTAATGGCACTGGAACAGCAAAACAGGGGAGCTGGGTGTTTCTAATCGAGAATTTTGAAAGCGGTTGTACTGCTCAGCAGTGGCAGTTCAAGAAATCCCACCCTGGTTGTCTTTATGTTTTTTAATATCATTCTTTTTGGATCCATCGCTTAAATGCTGGGTTGAAAGTGGATGGTGACACACGTTCTTCCCGTTGCTTAAATTTTGGAGTCGGGGGATATCGAGTTCTCGTTCTCGGGCCGGAGAAATTTCTCCGGGCGGGAGTCACGAGTGCTGTGGTGAACAGCTGAAGCCCTCCACCTGCCAAATAAATGCCAAATAAATGTCTCGTCGTGAGGCTCCACGAGCCTTAGGTGCTGCCCACCTTCCACACCAGACCCGATGACTTTCCCAGGGTGCGTGGTGCCGGTTCAGAGCATGTCCTGCTGCCTTCTGCTGCAGTGTTGGCCTCTCTCAAACTGTCAAGGGATTTTTTTTTTTTTTTATTACTTTTTTTTTTTGAGACCAGATAAGTGTAATCTTCTTCAGAGAGAGAAATACTTTTCAATTATAGGGGCTGCTTTTGGGCTAGGTGTGAAGATTTAGCTTTTGTGGGTGTGTTATTTCCTCCCCCTGTTTTTGTTCTTTATTAGATTCTACTCTTTTACTACCTGGAAAAATAACAAAAGACAAACGGTCCTTAGCTCTTTCCAAAGAGCCATAGTTAGACAAAGGGATTGATATCCCATGAAGGCTGCTAATTTTTGCTACCAAATTGTGGGGGGCTTTTAGGGCAAGATTTTTTTTACTATTTTTTTTTTTTTTCAAAAGCAACTCTAGACGTGGCAAGCGGAATTGGAGATCTGTGAAAGGCCACATTTTCACAGATTGGAGCTCTGGCAATTTCTGAAAATTAGGCTCCTTTAAAATCTATCACATTAGGTCCGTGCGGCCTTCGTTGGAAGTTCCAATTAACTGTTTGTTTCGTTGCATCCTCTTCTGTCCTCCTTCCCCCTTATTCGCACCAGCTTTCATGAATATTAAAAATAAGGCTGTTTTGCGGTTGGCATATAATGTTTCAGGGAGATGTATGTTTTATTTTCCCCAAAGGGAGGTACTATTAGATTTAGGAAAAGACTTCTTAAAAGATTTCTACCTGATCAACTGCAACCCAAGGGACAGATACTGTTGAGAGTCTGCCTGAAGTTGGACGTAACCAATACTGGCACCACCAAAGGATGCAGTTATTAGAGTTGCAGATCGAGAAGCACGTTTTGGGGGCTGGCGTTGTTTCCTCTGGGCTTTGAAAAATATTCTGACCCTCAGAATTCGGAGCAAAATCAGGAGCAAGCACTGGGAGTGCAGAACAGGTTTTCTTGTCCGTCTGACTGTCTCACGTCTTTCATCTGTAGGAACTGCAATCAAACACATCACTTAAAGCTCTGAAATCGCAAAATTATTATCAGTTGAGAGCCTGGGCTTTAGTTTGACTGTAGAAGCTGCTAGCAGAGAAAGCAGTTGGAAGGTTTGCCAGAGCACAGAACAGGTTATCGGGTGTGTTTATCTCCATATTCTGACTTTCCCATAAAGAAAGTAGTGCTGCTTCTTGCCAAGACCTTTGGGGCTGGGTGTCTCTTTTAATTTTAAACTCCTTTGCTGGCTATTTTCTCCGTCTTGACAAAGACATGGCATTTATTGCATCTGGCAAAACAAGTGTCTGGGACTGATTAGGAGAAAACAGATCTATTCCCTCTGATAGAGAGTAAAAGTGAAGACAGCCAGTGGGACAAGACTTCAGAGTCATGTCTCTGAAAAAAAATCTCTGAAGAAAGATGCAGTGGATAAACTGGCAGGGATACTTTTTTTTTTTGAAGGCAGTCTTTATGAAGTTAATTTTGTAAGATGATGCTTTTCACTTCTTCTGACCTATTATAATAAAGTGTAGTTATCAGAATGGGCTTTTCATTTCCCATTATAAAGGACACAGTGGTATAATGAATCCATCTGCCAGACATGCTTGCTGTTCACACCTTTCTCCCAGTAATGGAGTCTACATGACTGGAGACAATTTCTCCTTCCTGGTGTAACGTCGTCCTGTTGAAGCTGTGGAAATCTTTGCTGCTGAAAGGCAGAGGAGGGAAAAAAAAAATAGTTCCTTCATAAACATGTGAGTTTGTTAAGCAAGTGCTGGGCTGTATTAATTAGAATATCCAGGGCAAAGAGCCCTAGGATGCACAGTGCTGTGAGCATCACTTGCTGAAGTCTAATGTCAGATTACTCTCCGAGTGTTGCTTTTGCTTTTAAAACCCTAGAAGTTGTGCTAGAAATGTTTCGAAATCCGTTGCTGCTTCCTCTTAGCTGCTTAAAATCT